TAGCTCAGGGGGCAGGAGTGCATGGAGGAAAGGACACAGGGAAGTGGTAACTATGGGGAAGAAGTGGGAGGGGAGCTGTTGCATTGTAGGAAATTGTAGTCAATGTCATGAGACAAAGTGTGTGTGAGTTGCTGTATGGAAAATGAATTTGCTCTGTAAACTTTCACCCAAATCACAATTAAAAAATAAATAAATAATTAAAAACTGAATAGGATGCTTTCAGAAGATCCTCACAGAGAATAGGTTCAGTTGTAAGCACTTGTTGGACATGATAGGAAGGTACTTTCTTCCCTTTCTAAATGGCTCCATTTAAAAAGTCTCCTCAGATAAACCAATCTTAGTGCATTGGTAAGCAAGCATCTTTTTTTTTCAAGGGATCCATTAACTTATTCCTCACAGATTTCTATGGCAGCTGTTCCTTAACATGTATGTTCATTCTGTAAGGATTGGTCTGACATGTGAATGGGATTTGGCTCTGTCTGAAGAATGGCCAGAAACAGTTGCCTTTTGCGAGAAATTATGGTTCTGGGAAAAAATAAAACAAAAAGACTGCATTAAGAACATGTAAGCAAAGTTATGATTGAATTTGTTATTCAAAATTAGGTGAGAAAATTTCCTTAAGCTTTTTTTTGTGTGTGTAAATGTGTATATGTATTTACATTAACTTTAAGACCATTAATTCTAAGTCAAAGAAAACGTTTAATTTCCTATACTGATCAAACTTTATATATATATATGTTGTTGTTGTTTGCCGTCGAGTTGGCCCCGACTCATAGCGACCCCTCCTTGGGTTTCCGAGGCAGTATCACTACGGAAGTCAGATTGCCCAACCTTCCTTCTGAGGAGTGGCTCGTGGGTTTGAACCGCCAGCCTTCTGGTTAGCAGTCAAGTGCCTTAGGCACTATGCTACCTGAGCTTATACACACACACACACACACACATATATATTTCCTCCTTGTCTTTTTTTTTTTTTCCAGAAGGAAGACTGGGCAGGATGTACTTCCTCAGAAACCCACTGGTTGTTGTTAGGTGCCATTGAGTAGTCTCCGATTCATAGCAACCTTATGTACAACAGAACAAAACACTGCCCTGTCCTGTGCCGTCCTCATAATCCTTGCTATATCTGAGCCCGTCATTGCCCCACTGTGTCAGTCCATCTTGTTGAGGGCCTTCCCCTTTTTTATTGATCTCCGTTTTACCAAGCATGGTATCTTTCTCCAGGGTATTGTTCCTTCTGACAGCATGACTGCAAAAAGGGCAAGGAGGCCACATATTCTGACTTCCTCTAATCCCACAAGAGGAAGACAGGGTTACCAGCAGTAACCCAAGGCCTATTACTGCAAGGCCAGACATGCTGCCTCCCTCCAGCCCTTTCTCCAACCGTTCCTCCCAAAGCACCCA